CATGCTAGCAACATGCTAGTAGCATGCTAATCGTGCTAGAAACATGCTAGCGACCTGCTAGTCACTTGCTAATCATGCTAGAAACATGCTAGTAGATTCCTATCTATCTATCTAACTTGCTAATCATGCTAGCGACATGCTAGTCACTTGCTAATCATGTTAGAAACATGCTAGCGACATGCTAGTAACTTGCTAATCATGCTAACGACATACTAGTCGCTTGCTAATAATGCTAGCAACATGCTAGTCACTTTTTAATCATGCTAGCAAAATGCTAGTAGCATGCTAATCGTGCTAGAAACATGCTAGCGACATGCTAGTCACTTGCTAATCATGTTAGAAACATGCTAGCGACATGCTAGTAACTTGCTAATCATGCTAACGACATACTAGTCGCTTGCTAATAATGCTAGCAACATGCTAGTCACTTTTTAATCATGCTAGCAAAATGCTAGTAGCATGCTAATCGTGCTAGAAACATGCTAGCGACATGCTAGTCACTTGCTAATAATGCTAGCAACATGCTAGTCACCTGCAAATCATGCTATAAACATGCTAGCGACATGCTAGTAACTTGTTAATCATGCTAGCAACATGCTAGTAACTTGCTAATCATTCTAGCGACATGCTAGTCACTTGCTAATCATGCTAGAAACATGCTAGTCAATCGCTAATCATGCTAGAAACATGCTAGCGACATGCTAGTAACTTGTTAATCATCCTAACGACATGCTAGTCACTTGTTAATCATGCTAGCAGCATGATAGTGGCATGTTAATCATGCTAGCGACATGCTACTCACTTGCTAATCATGCTAGAAACATGCTAGTGACATGCTAGTAATAATAACAATAGCAATAACTTGCCAATCATGCTAACGACATACTAGTCGCTTGCTAATAATGCTAGCAACATGCTAGTAACTTTTTAATCATGTTAGCAAAATGCTAGTAGCATTCTAATCATGCTAGAAACATATAACGACATGCTAGTAACTAGCTAATCATGCTAGCAGCATGCTAGTAACTTGCTAATCATGCTAGCGACATGCTAGTCACTTGCTAATCATGCTAACAACATGCTAGTCACATGCTAATAATGCTAGAAACATGTTAACAACATGCTAGTAACTTGCTAATGATGCTATTAACATGCTAGTCCCTTGCTAATCATGCTAGCGACATGCTAGTACCTTGCTAATCATGCTAGCGACATGCTAGTCACTTGCTAATCATGTTAACAACATGCTAGTAGATTCCTATCTACAAAATTCAAATCTAAACACACTGAAGCCCATTAAACTCAATCAGACTTGCCTTCTATGTATTATTTCTAACCCTTTCAAACTCATTCAAATTCATATATCTAATATTTTTCTATCTATCTATCTATCTATCTATCTATCTATCTATCTATCTATCTATCTATCATCTGACTATTTCTATCTATCTATCCTAGCGACATGCTAATCATGTTAGAAACGTACTAGCAACATGCTAGTAGCATGCTAATCATGCTTGAAACATGCTAGTAACTTGCTAATCATGCTAGCGACATACTAGCCACTTGCTAATCATGCTAGTAACTTGCTAATCATGCTAACAACATGCTAGTAACTTGCTAATCATGCTAGCGACATCCTAGCTTAAATAAAAAAAATCACCCCCATGTTTATAGTATTTAAGAATGATTTGAGACAATACTCAAAAACTTTGTCAAAAACAAAAAATAAAAAAGCTGGAATCTTGTTAGATTTATTTGATTAATATACTTTATTATAATGCTTTTTTATCCCCTGTGTTTAATCTATATTTATGAATATAGATGGTTTAAAGAATGAATGTTCTTTGTTTATTGTGTATTCTGTGTAAGTCTAAGCCCCTCTTAAAACTGTTGTCCTTGAATGTAAGTTGTATGCCAATTTGTTCTGTAAACTTGTAATTTTTTGTTATACTTAACACATTTCTTTTTTTAAAAGTTTGCTGAAGAATGCATTCTCTATAAAGAGCTGCTTCGTCGTTGACAAAAAAAAAAACCTAGTTATAAATACTTCAACAAACCAATTTTTCTTGTTTTTTAATGTTTTTTTTTATCTTGTTTATGTATCTTAATACAGTTTCATAATCAAAAAATAAAAAATCAAGGAGAACGACTTTAATTTGTAATGATTTTAATTTATACAGTCTAATTGATGTATAAATTAACATCTTACCCTCATGGTTTATTATTATTTTTATTTGTATTTTCTCTTTAGTTTTTCTTATTTCTCCATTGTTATATTTCGTACCAATCATCATTATTGTTGTTTTTTTCTTTCTTTTCTTAATTTTCTTTCCTATGTGTTCTGATGGCATTGATACATGTTGATACATTTTGTAGCCTATATTGTATACAAAGTGTTATGCCATTAATGTCATCTCTGTTCTGTTTATAAGCATAATGATAAAAAGAAGAAGTTATAAATACTTTAAAACACGGATTTGCCTGTCATCCAAAGCAGTTCTTTACTGTTGATAATGCAATACCCTCAGGTGTTCCCTTTCTTACTCCAAAATTACTGCAGTTCTTCCTTCATTATATGTTGGTGATATTGAAATAGAGCGCAAACTTCGCAATATCAAATACATAAGACAAATCATCATCCAGTCGTGCTACCCCTGTCAAATATTAAGAAATAAATTAGATCATACATTTGATAAAAATACTGGTAAATATTTCAGAACAGCCTAATAAAAATCTCCCCAAAGTAAATAAACACGCTTTAAAATACTAAATCGCACATATACTTCCAATTAAGTTCTACATTTAAAATTTGATTTTTAAAATGTACCTTGTCATCTATGTAAACATCTCTTTGAAGATACAGAAAATATATTTTTACATATTGTTCTGTTGTGTTGAGCCTTCCATGCCAGATTCTTTGTTTTTGGTATGCTAACTAATGCCATTTTATTGGACTCAGATTTTGTACTTAATTAAAAAAAAAACACAGTTATAGATATTAATGTTGTTTATTTGCTGCCTGTTTGGCAAGTAAAAAAGATCAATGTTACATAAAAAAAGAAAATACTTATTGAACCCGCTGTATATATTCTGCTTGTTATTTATCTTATTTTGTTTCTAATTTATCAATTCTTTTGTCTCCCAAAATGTATAGTAAACATGCCTTTAGTCCTGGTGTCCTCTAGAGTGGACATGTATGAAATGATGTCCTGTTTCATAACAGAAAGTCATATTTTGATTTGAAACCCCATAACATTTTCCTGAGATGTTGATTTATGACAAACAATTTGAAAATTAATCAGATTTAAACTGTAATTACAAAATATTATCATATTTCCATAAGGATGTACAATTGTATCACTAAATTAATGTCAGCCATTTTTAAAAACCAAGGAGAGGGAGTGGCCATGGTGAAACATCCAATCATTTGGTATCTCTGGAAAGCCCTGAATGTGCTCTGTACAGGACATCCAGACTTAAACCTGTGACATGTGAGGTCTCAGAGAAATTCACTCCAATATAATGTCCACTACAGAGGCAAAAACTCCATAGCTGGGTCTCAGGAGGATATATATTTACACATTTTTGAGGTGCAATCACATCTCCATCAAAGTCGATTCAAAGGTCATCATGGGGTATAAAGTGTAACACTCCCATGCTGTAGGTGGAGCACTACATCAACCTCCACGTGTGACTGTCTCCACAGGATCTCCTTGAAGAAGTCACGCATGCGCCTCAGGCTCTGTGACAGCTTTCCACCGAGAGCCGTTTATTGTTGATAAGCTCTGTGGGCCATCCGTTCAAACAGCATCGGGACATGCCGCGGTATGAGCTGTGTGTGATCCTGAAGGCGATGCAGAGGCCGGAGACGGCGGCGGTGCTGCGGCGCACGGTGGAGACGCTGCTCGAGCGCGGCGCTCTGGTCAGGAGTCTGGAGAGCCTCGGCGAGCGCAGGCTGCCCTACAAGATCTCCAAACACGACTCTCGCCACACGCACGGCGGATACTTCTCCGTCGACTTCCACGCCTCGCCGAAGACCGTCAGCGAGCTGCTAGATCACCTGGAGCGGGACATTGACGTGCTGCGCCCCACAGTTTTAAAGAAAGACACGGAGCTTTCCAAGGCGCAGTGCTGTGGGGCACAAGCTGAGAAAGCTAAGAGTGCCACATCCAGATAAATGTGAGAATCCCATTGTTTCCCTGGTCTGTTTTTACTTTGAGGGTTGGGATAATGTGTTTAGAGAGGAAAAGGAGAAATGGATAAAATGCTCAAAATGAAGTAGTATTTGGATTGAATGGAGTTAATGTGATGAACTACACACCTATCCTAACTTGAGCGGAACTGAGTTCAAACATCACTGTATAATCATCACAAGTCGGTTAAAGTCATTGCAAAAGTTAGTTCTAGGTCTAGCATTGTTTATTTTCAGGTGATATGCAATGAAATCAATCAGTGTTCAAATGCTTTTGGGCTCAAAGTCCCCAATTTGGTTGGAGTTTTTGTATATATATATATTTTTGAATAAGATGGTAGTTGTGCTGTCAATGTGTCATAAGTACATTCTTGTCTTTTTTCCCTAGGACTGTGAAGATGGGCTCATCTGCTGGATTATATGAATGGACTTTTGCAACAAGTTGAGCTAGTAAATGTCAGCATCCTTTTTATGCATTTACGGCAGCTATTTATGTGATGTGTGTTTCCACAAAGAACACGACCTCTTTGCAGGATCAGCATTTTTGGAGTATTTAATTTTAATATGACAAATTCTACTGCAATGATTGCATGCTCATAAATAAATAACATTAAAAAAAAGTTGTTTATCTCAGTCTATGACAGTCATACTGTTCCACAAAAGCAACTTGCAAATAAAAAATATGATCGAAGTGTTGTAGAGGAAAGCTGTACCTTAATCGATTTATCTTCCGGATACTGTAACATGCTGTTCTCACAACTAGAGTTCATTGTTAATAAAGTTCATAAACTTTTCCTTTTAGAGAACATAAAATAAACAGTCTCCAGAGAAAAGATAAAACACGTCAGTTTGCACATAAAAAGTGTTTAATCAATTCAAAGCCTAATTAAACAAGAAGGACAACATCTTCTTTTAAGATGTTTTTTTGTTTGTTTGTTTTTGTATTGTCTTATCTTATAAGAATCCCGTATTTTAATAGGTTAAAATTTAAGAGGCGTCCAAAAAAAAAAAAAAAAAGGTTTTCTATCAAA